TGCATTGTATCTTGAACTATAGATCTCAAGTTCCTCTATCTAAATCGAAGGGCAAAATCAAAATTTCATTTAGATGGCAGGTCACTTTCATGCATTCTTTTGCATGTTTCTCAAAGATAATGAGTTTTAAAAGGATTTCGTCCTATGCAATATTGGAGAAACAGACGTGCCATCATCTTCTCTTTCGATCGGCGAAAACCGCAGATTTCTAGCTGCTTACGTTCTCAAGTTATTCAAAAAACAGTGGAGCACATTCTATTTTGAAATGGATAATAGAAGAAATTAGCAAATAACGTTTTAATTGATATATCGCGACACCGGCTGTAATTAGCAGAATCAAGAATCCGTTCTTCTCATTTTCAGAAAAAATCGACTTAAATTAGAGGGTGCTAAAATCTATTGAAACGAATGACGATAATGATCGTTTTTTGTAGTTTCTCTCGAGGAATTGGATGGAAATTGTATATTTTTTCTTGTTCTGTAAGCTGAAGTATATTTCCGCCAGCTTTTGAAATAGCGTTCGATTTTTTAAATGACTCATTCTCTTGAAATCGCTCATCGAGAGTAAGATGAAATATTATGATGTTAGAATGAGTGAATAAATAAAATCGAAAAAGGTTATACTTATATAAATGTTCAGCGTCTTGGTGTAGGTCGAGCAAACTGATACTTCTATTTTATGACAGCACAGAGCAAGATTTTTTGTATTTAAGGACATAAAGCATCCGTATAAGAATTCGCCTAATATTACATTTTCAGTAAGCAAATAGTATTTGTTGTGTGCACATCATTTTTCTTTTTACAAGTTAGCAAGATATATTCTCTTTTGTAGAATGACAAGTGACATCGAACATCAACAAGTTGTTGTAACATTGAGTGGCAACAATAAGAAAAAAACAAACTTCGGAGATACATGGACAACAGCAAAATCCTATATTCCAAAGAAAAACTATTGTACAAAGGATTATATCGTTAGTTACGGCGTGCCAACTCTTATCGTTATCATGATTATCGTTTTTATTATTCTCATTTTGCTTTATTTTCAAGGTTACAATAGCAAATGCGCAGATCCAAACAGTACTTCATGCAGATTCGGACTGTGGTATTTCAATTTCAAATAAACAATATAAATAGTTGACTGCTAACTCTATGATACAGAGTTTTGTGAAGCACAATGTAAAATGAATGTGAAAGTGTATAAGAGGATATGGGTGTGGGTATAGGTCTCAACCTTTCGCTCGTTCACACGAGAACGCTCATTGTGAGTATCAAACAACAAATCTGATAATGTTTTGAGTGCAAAAACTTAGAAGAAATCAGTCAGACTAACAAGATAATTTCACATATCTTGTATGAGTTAGTATGCTTAACTATGAGTAACTTTACTTGGTCGACTTTTAATTGACATTTTCAGATGCAATGTTACTGAATATTATCTTATGAATCGCATTGAAGAACTCAACAATCGATCAGCTAGATTTATTCAGATTTCAATCTACTGTCACTAACAATGAATATATGTGTAATTTGAACTTTGCTGGCTTCTTTCTACTTTTACATCGAAAATATGATTATAATATTTCTTTTTGAGGATGGGTAGTGCGGCGTGTGGGATCACCCCACATCCACACCCATAGTGTTGATTGCCATTCTGTGCACATACATAGTATTTGTCCGACTGCTTGAATCGACAAATATTGCTTTCATATTTTTATACTTTCGGATATTATATTGGACTGTATTAGCAAGAATGAGGAAAACAAAAACCATCGATATTGAATCGACAGTAACAGTGGCAATGAAGGGAGAAACATAAACAAAAACTAATATTCTTCATTTTTTGAACGAAATTATTCGACTAGTTTTGACTATCTTATGTATTCGTTGTCAAGAATCACTAAATACAATCAATAATTCCAATTAGTTTTTCTAAAGCAATAAAACATTATGTTCGAAGATAAGAAATTTTTTTTTAATGTTAAATGATGATGTTCGAGAACTGCCGAAGAAAACGAAATTGTCATAATAACAAATGTATGGTTATTATCATTGTCACGGTTATTGTCCATTCAATATCAATAGTCTGTATTTTTCCTCTCTTTTGCTAATACAGTCCGATATGACATACAAAAGTATACGAATATGACAACAATGCTCATCGACTCAAGCAGTCGGACGAATGCTATATATAAGTAAATCAGCACGTTTGAATCACTATCTGTGGAACTTTATTTTTTTGGTGCATATGAATATACGAAAAAATTCTTTTGTTAATATACTAGAAGTAGAGAAATCTATTTGTGAGAATTTTTGACATGTCTGAACTGAGTTCAATTTTCATCACAACATCCGAACAAACGGACACAATAGTAAGTATATAACATCTTCATATGTCTTTTGAAATTTGCAATAACAAACGAAGCCGTTTTTTCGAAAGAATAAATCTCGCTGAATTCCTTTGGTATCGTATTATAGAAAAACTCTAAGAGTTATTCTTGAATTTTAACAGGAAGATTTTCAAAAAAAAAATTTCTAACTTTGAACATTGTTCAGATATAATTTTATTTATTTTCTATTTAGAATAGTGATGTAGAAGAAAGTGACAATATTTATATTTTTGACAATGATGATGAATTTATTGATTTTATTCCTTGTAAGTATTTTTTTTCGATTTATAACAAAAAAAAGATAAATTTATTATTTTAAAGCTCCTTCCATATATGAAAATGAAGTTCAAGATATAGATTCATTATCCAAATGTTTTGAACAACGTTACAATAATTATCTTATGTTTTTCATGGGCTCTCTTAAAGATGCATGTCAAGCAACTTTCAGTCCAACTATAATTCAAGAAGTTCGTTCAGATAGTTTTTCTTCTTACATAAAATACTTCGATCTTTCATATTTCAGCGTCGTCCAATACTTGTTTACATATATCATGACGACAATCAATTTAGGAAAAAATTTTATGAGACTATATTTTATTCAAGCACGATTATCAATTATTTAAATGTAAATTATATTGTTTGGCCATACGAAATTACTACTAAATCGAATAGATATACGTAAATTATATATCAATTTGATTGCTAAAATTAATTTTTTTTTTTTATTCAGGCTAACAAAAATTTGGGAAGAAACATTTTCTACTCAATTCTTTGATAATTTTTCCATTGAACAATGTCCTTTACTTATTGGAATTATGAGACTATTTGAACACAAAATAGATGGTAATGTAACATCCGAATATCAATTCAAATCATTAGTTAAAAGTAATAGTTTGACACGTACTCAAATGACAGTTAATCGTGAAAATCTATTGAATGAATTAGATATTTTCAAAGAAGAATGTGATAAAAATGAACAAGATTTAGTGAGTGTTTTGTTTTTCATGTTTATATTTTATATGAAAAGTATCTATTTTAGTCATTTAGTTTCGTTAAAAAAACTGGTCTTTGTTGGAAAATTATTCTTGAAATAAGTCAATATCTTTCATTGAATGATGCAATATCAGCATTCTCTATTGATATTCTTTCTTTATTAAATAATTATCAATCAAAATTTCAATTATCTAATCCTTTTAATCCATTTATTAAAATGATTTTTCGAAAAATCAAATCTGAACAAATTGTTTCATTAGCATTCACTACAAGTCAATTATGGTTAGACACTGAATTAACCTTTTTATCTAATTTTAATAAAGTCACTTCAATAATACTTCATAATTCATCATATACAAATCAAATTAGTGAATATATAAACTGTTTTCCCAATTTGACTCATCTTTCTCTCTATTATGATGATAAAATTAATTATTATATATTAAATGAAGTATTAATTCAAGTTCGACAACAAATCAAACGATTTGAAATTCATTGTCCAGAAATAGTTTATACTGATGATGATGGTATTGACCAATTAAAAAAAAGGCAAATGGTAACGGCTAGGATTAAATTTTTTTTACTTGATGTTGGTCGTTATCCTTCGACATCGACAAATAGTCATCTTCAACATTACAAATCATGGTTTTTTATGCCATTAGCTGATTTAATGAAAAAAATGCCAAACATTCAACATATTCATATAATTAGCAATAAATATAATATTGAATATTTTTTTGATGATGATCAATGGAAACTTGTTCTAAATAGATGTTCTCAATTGAAGAAAATAACATTACAAGTGTTA